AATTATATTTACAAGCAGTTCTCATCTTGACAATAAGACCACATTTTCTTAATTTACTGCAAGAACATTTTGTTGGTAAAATAACAGAACAGCAGAAAATATGAGTTACTTTAAATTCTATTGGTTAGATCTTTGAAACCAGTTTTATTAATTATCATTCTGTATGCAGCAGATTTTAAAAATTATTGTTTAATATTAACATTTATTGTTTCCATCCCTGGTTCAAATCTTTGTGTTTTTCTCCCAGATGTTGATCCAGCAGCGTCTCTCAGTGTGAATCCTGACAGAGTTCAACACTTCAGTTCTCTCTCTGTCTCACTGAGCTGTGAAGGAAACTCTACTGAGTGGAAAGTGAAGAGGTTTACAGATACTGGTCTGTCAGACAGCTCCATGTGGGGAACACAGACTGGATCCTCATGTACCATAAAGCCTTACTGGTCTGGTAGTGGAGTGTTCTGGTGTGAGTCTGGATCAGGAGAGTTCAGCAATGCAGTCAACATCACTGTACAGAGTATGTTATCATTTCTTAGAGTTTTCTTTAACTTTGGATATCACATTCTTAGTTATTGTACAGATTTGTCATAAATTGGAGGGTTGATGGTGAAAATGGGACAAAACTGCAGCTTGAAGAATTCAGGAACTTTATTAAACTGAAACAGACTGAACTAAACCTCAGTTCATCTTATACTGGGAACAGATTTTAAACTTGTTTTGTTCTAAACTTGTGTGTGACTTTAAGCCTGATCCCATGTGAAGATGTGAGATCTTGTGATGTTTTATTGCTTAAAATATCAGAGTGACTTTCAGCTACTTCCACACTAAATATGAGCTCAGTATCTGTAAAATTATCTAAGTCATATGTTTTTGCGTTTACTCAGGTGTCTTGGTGCAGAGAGTGTTGTACATGAAACGTGTTGTAAGTTTTAATAAAATGTGTCTCATGAAACATGTTTCAGATTCAGTAAAACTTCAGAAATGTTCTTTAAAACTAAATCAACTGTCAGAAGTTTTAACATAAAAGGCAACGTTGTTGATTCTCCACGAGCCAGATGTTTCTGAACATGAACACCAGCTGACTGAAGCTGTTTTGCAGATGATGATGGTGGTATCATCCTGGAGAGCCCCGTCCATCCTGTGACTGAGGGAGATCCTGTGACTTTGAGCTGCAGACTGAGAGAACAAGAACTTCTTTCTGATGTGTTTTTCTATCACAACAACAAACTTCTCCTAAATGATGGAAGAGGGGAGCTGAAAATGTCTGCAGTGTCAAAGTCAGATGAAGGTTTCTACAGGTGTGAACATTCAGGAAAGAAGTCACCACAGAGCTGGATGTCAGTTAAAGGTGAGGAGGGTTAAAATATTGGACAATGCAAGTTCATCAAAGCAAAACAATACCAGATCAGTCCAGGCCTGGTTTAACAAAAAACGACTCCAGTGCTTTTGACAAACAGGGTGGCCGCAGAAAATGTGCTACTGTTAGTCGAAGACCATGAGGAGGGAAACATATCAGGAGACAGAGGGAGAAGAGGAAAGTCAAGAATGTAGGACTGATGGTTGCAACTCTAAATGTGGGGACAATGACAGGTGAAGGTAGATAGCTGGCTGACATGATGCAGAGAAGGAAATAAGATGTTTTGTGTCCAAGAGACCAAGTGGAAGGGCAGAAAGGCTCGCAGTATTGGAGCAGGGTTCAAACTGTTTTACCTTGATGTGGATAGAAAGAAATGGTTTAGGGGTGGGCTTGAAGGAGGAGTTGGCAAAGAATGTAGTAAAGGTGAAGAGAGTAAATGGTAAATTGACTGTACTTATATAGTGCCTTTCTATCTAATCAAGATACTCAAAGCACTTTACACTACAATCTGTGTCCTCATTTACCCATTCATTCAGCACTCTGAAGTATCAGATAGGGTGATGTGTGTGAAGGTAGAAGTAGAAGGTCGGATGCTAAATGTTATCAGTGGTTATTCTCCACAGGTAGGATGTGATGGGGAGGAGAAAGATACATTTTGGAAAGAACTGGATGAAGAGAGAGTATTCCCAGGGAGGAAAGAATGGTGATCTGAGCAGACTTGAATGGACATGTTGGTGAAGGAAACAGAGGGGATGAGGAAGTGATGGGTAGGTTTGGTGTCAAGGAAAGAAACCAGGAAGGACAGATGGTGGTAGATTTTGAAAAGAGAATGGAAATGGCTTTATTCAATACTTATTTCCAAAAGAGGGAGGAGCATAGAGTGACCTATAAGAGATGAGGAAGGAGTACTTTGTACTTTGAGGAGCTAATGAATGAAGAGAAAAGAATGAAAGAGAAAGAAGAGTAGAGGTCATAGAAACTATGGACCAGGAGGTGGGAAAGATTAGTGAGAGTGAAGTCCAAAAAGCTCTGTAAAGAATAAAAAAGGAGAAGGCAGTAGGACCTGATGACATACCATTGGAGGTTTGGAAATGTCTTGGAGAGATGGCAATGAGGTTTTTGACTCAATTATTCAATGGAATATTTGAGGGTGAGAAAATGCCTGAGGAATGGAGGAGAAGTGTCCTGGTGCCCATTTTTAAGAACGAGGGTGATGTACAGAGTTGTAAAAACTACAGGGGATTTAAGTTGATGAGCCACACAATGAAGATCTTGGAGAGAGTTGTGGAAGCAGGACTTAGACAAGAGATGACTGTGAGCAGCAATATGGTTTCATGCAAAGAAAGAGCACCATCGATGCCATCTTTGCTCTGAGGATGCTGATGGAGAAGTACAGAGAGGGTCAGAAAGGACTCCAATGTGTCTTTGTGGATTTAGAAAAAGTATATGACAGGGTGCCGAGGGAGGGGGTGTGGTATTGCATGAGGAAATCTGGAGTAGCAGAGATATATGTTAGACTGGTACAGGACATGTATGTGGACAGCAGGACAGTGGTGAGATGTGCTGTAGGAGTGACACATAGCTTTAAGGTAGAGGTGGGATTGCATCAAGGATCAACTCTGAGCCCCTTCTTGTTTGCTCTGGTGACAGACCAACTAACAGCTGAGGTCATGTAGGAATCACCGTGGACTATGATCTTTGCAGATGACAATGTGATCTGTTGTGAGAACAGGGAACAAGTGGAAGAGAACTTGAAGAGGTGGAGGTACGCATTTGAAAAAAGAGGAATGAAAGTCAGCCGTAGTAAGACAGAGTACATGTGTGTGAATGAGAGGGAGGCTGGTGGAACAGTGATGCTACAAGGAGCAGAGGTCACAAAGGTGCAGGACTTCAAGTACGTGGGGTCCACTGTCCAGGAAAATGGGGAGTGTGGTAAAGAGATGAAGAAGAGTGTCCAGGCAGGATGGAGTGGGTGGAGAAAAGTTTCAGGAGTGATTTGCAACAAAAGAGTGGCAGCAAAGGTCAAAGGAAAGGTTTACAAGACAGTGGGGAGACCAGCTATGTTGTATGGTCTGGAGACAGAGACATTGACAAAAAGACAGGAAGTGGCAGAAATTAAGAAGCTTAGGTTCTCCTTAGGAGTGACAAAGATGGATAAGATTAGGAATGAGATCATCGGAGGTCCAGCGCAGGCTGAACAACTAAGATAAAGTTAGAGAGGCCAGACTGAGATGGTTTGGACATGTCCAGAGGAGGGACAGTGGGTATATTCGTAGAATAATGTTAGAAGTGCAGTTGCCAGGAAAATTACAAAGGGGAGATGTATGGATGCAGTTAGAGAGGACATGAAAGTAGTTTGAGTGAGTACAGAGGATGCAGAGGACAGACTAAGATGGAGGAGGATGACATGCTGTAGTGACCCCTGAATAGGGAAAAATCAAAAGAAAAAGATATTTTATAATGTTTATTTTTTTACAGCAGCTGTCAGCTATTTTTCTCCTCTGCTCATTGTTGGACCAGTTATTGGAATCATTTTCATGATTTTCCTGCTTTTATTGTGGCGCTGCAGACAGCCTAAAGGTGAGACTCTTTTCTTCACATTCCAGATCATTGTAATTAAGTGATAATAAAATATTTTAAAACTATACAGATTCATTCTGATGTTATGACACAAACTACCAGCAAAATTGTCAAGTTCACCAATTTCAATTCTGTTGTGACTTTGCTCTATATAAATAAACTGAAGTCATCTCAGGGCACTGAACAGAAACATTCATATATAAAAATAATAATTTAACACTATTAATCAGAGGAGCAGAACTCATCTTGAGCAAGCATGAAGGCGACAGTGGGAAGGAAACACTCCATCATGAGGAAGAAACCTTTAGCAGAACCAGGCTCATGACAAGCGGTCATCTGCTTCGACCCTCTGGATTTGGTAGGAGCAGATACACAATGGCAGGTTAAGAATCACATGTTAAGATAGAAATAGTATCAATTGAACACTAATCAATTTTAACAGTCCATTTAATGAAATTAAATCAATTTATCTTCCAGTAGTTTAAGCTTAAGGCAGCATAACAAGCCAACCCTAACTATAGGATTTATCAAAAAGGAAAGTCTTTAACCCAGTCTTAAAACTGGACAATGTGTCACCATAGAACACAGGTATGCAGGTTCACATGAGTTTAGTAAAAATAAAATTTATTTAATTTAACAAAAACAAATGGCTGACGTTGCAGCACAAACGATAAAGAACACGAAGGGAACCAAAATTACAAAAATATTCACAAAGCACACAGATAAACAAAGAACACATGCCAATGCACCTGAACAAAGACTGGAAGAAATCCAGGAGTTGAAAAGTGCCAAGAGTGGTGAGATAAGAGGCAACAGGTGAGCTAATGACGTACAAGGAACAGGTGTGAGTGGATGATCAGGGAGGAGGAGCAGGACTGAAAGAGAGATGGAGATGACCCAGGAAATACTGAGGAACAAACTGAACATGAGAGATCTGAAGAACAGCTGAGAAAAACAGAAACTAAACATGATGACAGAAAAGAATGAACCCAAAACAGTAAAAACAAAAATCTATGAAATAGCAACAAAAACTAAAGATCCTGATGAGAATGGTTCAAACAATGAAATATAACAACCAATGTCTTTTTTACAGATATATGCTGTATCAGGTCAGTGTATTACATTTTCTTGCTCTCTCTTCTATAACTGAATAATAGTTTGTTTAGTCTTAAATGTACTGTTTTTCTTATGTTTTAGCTCAAAATTCTCAGAGAGCAGCAGTCAGAGCTCCACCACAAATCAGGGAGTCACCCAGACTGAAAGTCAAGTGTACAGCTCTCTGCTCCACGGTAAGAACTGAAACTAATGTTTACTATCACCCACAACCAAGAAGTGGGTAATAAAGTATATCTGTCATACTGGCAACATGTTTTTTGAAGCACAGAACAAATTTTAATGAAACTCTCAGAAAACGTCAAATGAATGTACACCTACAAACAACTACTGAAGTCAACTCAATTCAAGATGGCTGCCACAGCTTAGAAAAATAGCTTTATTCATTCAACGTTACAGATATGGAGCTAAAACTTGGTGTGGTTGTGTTCCGTGTACATGTCCACGGACCGGTTGTAGGTGAGAGTCATTCTCGACACAAACAAGTGCCAACAAGATCATGATTGAATTGTTTTTCAACATTTTACTAAAACAGTTTTACCTGGGGGCCTAATACCTCTTTAATTTCTCAAATTATACATTTTTAGTTTACACTTTATTTGATATGCATTCCTCTAAGGACTACTAGGTTTATAATTGTATTTAATAATCTTGTTTTTTCTTGACTCATTATTACCATTTCTAGTTTGTGTTTTGTGATTCAGTAATCTGTTTTTCAAAAAATGACAGTCAAACTTGTTCACTTGACGTACTTGATAAAACATTTTCATTTGGCTCATTACAATATACGTTTCTTTATGTTCTCGCACGCAAATATAGCAAGAGGGAAATATCAGTTATACTTTTATATGAAATAAAACACAACAAAAACAGACATATGAAATCTAACAAGTGTCATTTTCAGTCAAGTTAAATTTGTTTTGTATAATTACATTAATAAAACAATGTCTTTTTTTTTTTACTGCAGGTGATGCTGCTCTTTATGAGTCATTAAATTTCTCTGAAGCCGCTGGAAATGGTAAATTTCTTGGGGAACTGATAAAATGCAACAATGGCATGATTTAAGGACTCCAATGACAAATAACCATAAAATCCTGAAATATTTCAGGTACAGATGAATCCAGAGATACTTCAGGTTTTCACACTGAACTGAAAAACTTCAGAAAAAAGAGTGAGTTTCAAACAAATAATGAACAACAAAGAAAGTGACTCAGAAAGACTTTGACTGTAATTTACTTTTTGTTGATTTGATGATCCTAACAGGAAAACCTCTTGAACCAGTTGAGGATGCTGATTACTATAATGTGGACAC